CTAATCCTCATTAATTGACTATTGCTAACACTCCCCCTCAAGTTGGTGCATAGATATCATCAATGACCAACTTGCCAAAAGAGAGACTGTCATTATTAATATTTCCGCATCAAGCTTCTTCTTAATAGAATGTCGATCCACTTCAACATGATCAATCTCTCCAAGAGTCTAAATGTCACTAGTATTTCATGGGATATCAACAAAGAGCCAAAACCATGTTTGTGGAAAGGAGTTAGCTGCAAGCCCCCCTCCAATTCATCTGTTATCCAAATTTCCTTATCTGGTGTTTCTCTACCCAGGTACTTGTTCTTCTTTTCCTTCTCTCTCTTTTTATTCTATGGTTTTGTCTGAACTATCCTCAAACCAAAAAACCACTATGATCAATCTCTCCAAGAGTCTAAATGTCACTAGTATTTCATGCTATAACAATTTGGAGGGTTCTTTGCCTGTATTTGTTGGTTTTGCTGGGTTGGAGTTCTTAGACTTGTCTCATAATAGGTTGAGTGGAGCCATTGATTTAGAGTTAGATGTGTTAGTTGGGCTCAGAAGCTTGAACCTTAGCTTGAACAATTTCACTGGCTCTGTTCCTACCCGTCTTGGAAAATCCAAGGTCCTGAAGGAGCTTCAGCTTTCTATGAATAAGTTTCATGGCATAATCCTGGGTCTGTTGATATTGTGGGTTACCAAACTTGAGGTTTTGATTCTGTCGTCCAATAGTTTATCAGGCGAAATCCCACAAAGCCTTTCAAATATCACAGGCCTTACCCGTTTTGCTGCAAATTCTAACAAATTCAACGGTCCAATTCCTGCAGGAATTACAAAACATCTGAGAAATTTGGACCTAAGCTATTACAGCTTAAGTGGTTCGATTTCATCGGATCTTTTGTCCCCATTGAATCTGCAGACTGTGGATTTGTCTAACAATAGATTAAACGGATCGATACCTACAGCTCTTTCTCCGAGGTTGGTCAGATTGAGATTAGGAAGCAATTCACTTGATTATGTAATTCCAACTGCGGCCATTGCAACACACCAACACTTAACTTACTTGGATCTGGAAAACAATACATTGACCGGATTGATTTCTCCTGAATTGGGTTCTTGCCAGTCATTGGAGCTGTTGAATTTGGCTCAGAATCAGCTCTCTGGGTCTCTGCCAGTGGAGTTGGGTAAGCTTAGCCATCTTCAAGTCTTGAAACTTGAACTTAACCTTTTGACTGGACAAATCCCAATTCAAATTGCTCAAATGTCGAAGTTGTCGATTCTAAATATCAGCTGGAATTCTCTGAATGGTTCGATACCACCTTCGGTTGCAAGCATGAAGAATCTCCTTAACATGAATTTACAAGGCAACAATCTCAGTGGTTCGATACCGGAAAATATTG